TCTTTTTCAATTTCGGTTTCTATTCTACTTCTTAATACTATGTCTTTGATTTCGTTTATTATGTCTGAGTAGTTTTATTGTTGGGATTAAGGGATTTTCGATGGGGGTTTATATGTTCGGTGAGGATTCCATTGGCTATTGAGCTGAATCTTAGAACTTTTTCTTCTGAATTCGTTTTTACTGCATGAGGGTAGCGTCATGAACTACAATCTGATCCAGATGCTTGGTGACACGAAAGTGTTCATCAGGTATCAGATCTAGTTTAGAAGAGCAAAACAAACATAGGAGTGAAACCTACCTATGGGCGATTTGTGAATTAGGACGAGTCTTAAACATAATGCATCTCTTCTCTTCCAGGGCCAGAGTGGAAACCTACTGGTCAGGGTTGAGAGAGATAGTTGTCTATGATCACGACAGTGGTGTATTCATACGTCCGTGACTCCAGTTCGAAAAGTTTAAGCTAAGATCTTATCAATTTACTCTCTAGCAATGTTTTGAATCGTTCGTACCCCTGAGAAAACTTCCCTGAACCCCAACGCTTTCTTCTCCATTAATTTACACCAATTTTCTTTAAGCTTTAATTCAATATTGTCTTTCCTTTTTAGTTCATTTTCATTTAAGCATTAGAATATCCGTTTTTATCATTTTTAGTTATTTTCGTTAAGTTTAGTTATTACGCCATTCAATATCTGCACTTTCTTTTAATATTTCGTTTTTAGATTTTAAACACACTACCAAACCTCCACTAAACCGTTTTTGTTCTAGACTTCCTTACTTTAACTTATTTTCAAAGGCTTTTTGCAGGAAAAGATCCTCCTTCCCTGTGGATTCGATCCCTAAGTACTACAATTGATCAGCTGTGCACTTGCGGCTATTGATTTCAATTAGGGTAAAACTTGACATCCACAACACGAGCACACATCACATCCCCCATTGTCGAGCTACTTGTCTTCATCCAGAGGATGATGTCTCGATGGTTCTGTGCTCGCAGGAAGAAAGCTTCTCGGTGGGAGGGTTTTTCCACACCAGAAGTGGACAAATTGATATCCAAACACCAGGCAGACGGCAACTTCAGCAAAATCAATCATCTTTCAACATGGAGTTGTGAAGTAATTGGCTGTCTAGGTGAGAAAAATTGTGTGTGTGTGCATGACAAGAAATGCACTTGTAAAGTGTATGACCGTCTACAGATCCCTTGTAGTCACGCTTTGATAGCTGCAGACAGTTTGGGACTCCCACACACGTCTTTGCTTTCCGACTACTACAAATCAACCACATGGGCAGCAACATACAAAGAAGTCATAAATCCTGAAGAAAACCCGGATGATGTCGACCTGCCACAGTCGATTTTGGATATGGTCCTATTGCCACCAAAATCGAAGAGGCCACCTGGTAGGCCAAAAAAAAAACGAATTCCGTCTCAAGGAGAATTAAGGGTCAGTTAGTTTTATAATTCTTTGCCTATATTTTCACTTATGCAGGATTGGACTACTAACAGCAATATTCCTTTGTTTGTAGCCTAATCGAATCAAGAAGACTATCCCTAACAAGTGTGGACGCTGCCATCAAGAAGGTCATAACAGACTACGATGCCCTAACCCAATTTGATTATAATATTTCCAGGTTGTACTTTTCTGCATCTTACTATGTATCCGTTTTGTAATTAGACTTACATTGTTGTAATGTCTATTCTGTTAGTTTATCAACCCATTTGGTCCAAGCACATGGTTGTAATATGTATCCGCTTTGTATTAGACTTACATGGTTGTATTGTTTTTTTTTTTTTTACTATCAACCCATTCCGACTAATGACAACCATTCCGAACATATTCCCCGCATATATCTATACTTCGATTTTAGTCGCTGCATCACTTACACATCAAGTGACTGCTTACCTGTTATTGCTTATATCACTAAAACAGGTGTACACATCCATATACATGGGCTCCTTTAAACTCACCTGCAACAATAACCACATATACAAATGCAATATCATGTTCACCCTTTTCTCATATAAACCTTGTTCTGCCGTAGTGCTCAACATTATAATTTTTCTATGTTTAATGGCTATTTCCACTATGATATTTTTATGCTAATATGATATATTTATATGGTTACAGTTAAATGACTATATCCATCATGGTAGACAACCATTTCGTACCTAATCCACAGATATGTATACTCAACGAACGTTTTTGCGTTTTCTCCGTAATGAAATGATGGCCTCTATACAAAGTTATACAACGCTGTGGATTGTGTCTTATATGTAATCATTTGCATTGTTCATATGGTCATTATCAATTGCTGTTTTTACGGGCCTTTAAAGATTGATCACATAGTCAATACTGATATTTACCAGTCCGTAACATAATGTCCAAATATATCATTCGGAGGGTTCTATGCACTCCTTTTACCTTGTCCACGTATATCTTCCCTACTTGTATATCACATATTCCTAATCCATGTTCTTTTATGGCTATGTACACTACCATACACGAAGATTCTGTGATATTTTTCCGACGATTGCAAAACAGTGCCGCTTGTCTTCCACCATTGGCACTGCCGTTATTGCTATTTACAACTAAAACCCTCATTATTGTTTTGCAACCCGACAGAACCAATACCAAGAACACCGTCGGATGAATATAATATACACTTCCTGGTAACCACTCCAACATGCCGATTTCACATCCAAATTCCGTTTGTCTTCCCCAAATTGCGCCGTCGTCGTCGTCACAGTCGTCGTCGTTAACCAAAGCCGGAGTCGCCTTAGTAAAATTGGAACAGTCGTTTGCCCACGAAGTTGATATCAATGTCGATTAATAATAAAAGTATATCTTCCTTGAAAGTTTTTTTTCAAACTGGTTAACACACTAATATTCAACCGGCCAAATTTTCCCCTTAGTCATTGGTAAGGGCTGCCTTGCCATTTCACACCTACTTTTGCAGCAAAAATGCTATCAAAAACTAAAGTGCCTTTTTTGTAAATAGAAACTCAAAAAGATCTAAAACATGTAAACGCCTCTTTTATATACACACATATTAACCGAATTGGCTAAACTAATTTATACAATTGCTGTAACATGGAGATATCTAACATCCCGATCTTGTCTTTTCGGCCGTATCACCTTTAACCCTATCTCTTCTTATTTATTAAAACAGAAACATGTTTTGAGTCTAAACAGATATTTTTAGTTTTCAACTATTATATTTCTGGATACGTACAATTTCTGTTGCCAAACAAAAATTTTAATTTTATTTATCTATTTTATTTATGTCCAAAAATTAATAAAAAGAGAGAGAGAGAGAAAGAGAGAGAGAGAGAGAGAGAGTATATTTGAATTTTATCTTTAAAATTAATTTTCAAAAAATTTTAAATTAAAATTCAATTAATTTAGATTTTCTTAGATATAGGATTAATTATTAAAATTACAAAAAATCAGTTACTTTTAAAAAATAGTAAATTAGATATTAAATTATTTTTTTCTAAATATTCAAATTTAAACAATATTTAATGATAAAGATAATAAACGGTATATGATCAATTATTTCAAAATTTTAAATATTTTAAATAAAAATAATTATATGGTAATATGAACAGATAAGGTAAAATTATGTTTTTTATATTTATAGTCTTTTTGGATTAGTCAAATGGACGGGTTAAAATTATGTGTATATACTCGTGGTCAAATTTATTAGAAAAATAAAATTTAAAAAGAAATTTTATCTAAACACAAAAATAAATTATATTTTTTATTAGATAAATATTATATCTATAAAAATACAAATTATATTATAAAATTAGATTAAAAAAAAAAATTCCGTGCAGACGGGTAGAATCTAGTTACCTCTTAAAGATGATGTATTAGATAACCATAACTCATTCATATAACCGCATATATAACTTCCCATTATTCTTAAACCAAAGTTCTTTCTATTTTCATAAACATTGAACATAATAAAATTGTGTTGTATTGTATTTATTTAAACTGGAACAAGACTGAGTCAAAAATTGTGGACATATGCGGAATGAGTTGAGTATCCAATGTGTTTAATTAATCTTCTGTTGAAATATGAAAAAAACTATTTTTAAAATACTTTAGATATGATCTCTCTAGTTAGCACATAATTATTTTCTGTATATTTTAATTTTCGCAATTTTTAGTCGGCAATTTTCACTATTTTAAACATTAAAATCATATAGATAATTGACTAAATAAAATATAGTATACAATATATACTATTTAAAAAAACTCTTTTTATGTTGAAACAGAATTTTCTTTATTTAAAATTATTCTGTTTTGGATAACTAATATTTCTGTTGCCAAACAAGTTAATTTAGTTATATATTAATAAAAATATATTTTATTATATATATAAATTTAATTCGAAATTTAAATACTAGTTGAGATTATTTTAGATTTTCTTAAATATATATTAGATATCTACAAAAAAAATTATATCTACAAAAATAGATATTTTTTAGTTACTAAAAAAATATATCTATAAAAATAATTATATCTAAACTCAAAATATATATTATATTACAAAATTTGATAAAAAAAAAACAAAATTCTCATGCGGGTGCACAAAGTAGAATCTAGTACTTTATTTAAAATTTCAAAAATCCATATGTACAATATGTAAAATACCAATTGATGTCTAAATCTCAAACCATTTATGTTACTCGAGAGACAAATAGATGTGGCGTGTTGAACCTTAAAAATAAAAATTATACCCCCATAAAGTCATGAAAAAATAGCATTACAGTCAAAGCTTAAAAACCAATCAAATATGAACTAATGAACTTAAAATCTAAAACATAGAGAATATTAAAATCCAGAGAGATAATGTAAGCTTAGACAATGTCAAGAGCACATATCACAGAACATACTATTTGGTAATTTCTCTTACATACTTTTTTATTGAAACAGGATCTGCAAGAATCGAAAAATGATCAGGAAAAATTACTTCTGTGAAAATTTAAACCTCCTTCCAGTTCATTGACGAGGCTTCACATACGGATCATCACCAAATAAGCATTCAATATGAAGAGTGGTGCAGCAGTCGTTGCACCAATAGAATATCTTTGTGCCTGTATCTCCTAAATTACGTTCGCACAACTCGCACCAATCCTTTTCACATACCTCATCCCCCCATAGAATCTCGAGTAAGTGTTTGTCATGCTTATACTTTGCCTTATATGGTAAGGTAGCACACTTAATACATACAATAAAATTGCACTTGATGCAATTTAATTGGCTGGCACATATTGATTCACATACCTGACATATGGGGTTTTCCCTTGGGTCTAAAGCTAGGAACAAGGGATGCTCATGACCTTTGAAATCAAACGGCTCAGAAAGTGAAGAACAACGTACATCGACACCATAATCGCATTCCAGTTTGGGACACTCATAGATAAAGCCATCACAATCACGAGCACAAGCATCACAATTGTAGAGACCATTAGGATATCGACTTACAGCTTTCAATGTAAGTATATGAGGATGTAAGGCATGTTGCATTCTGCGGGGAGCATTTGTGCATGACTCATGTAGGATGAAGTCACAGTCCATACAAGAATAAAACTTCTCTTCAAAGATAGGCATAACACACGCTTGACAAAGCTTGTTTTCATCGTAAAGTATGTTGACCTCAAGCCGGAGAGGGTGGTCATGAAGAAAATGAAGTATCACTCCATCAGATATCATAACAAACGGCTCAAGATCTTGTGTGATATCATCTTCTTCTACACCCTCGAGTTCTTCTCCATCACATACATCTTTTCGTAGAGCACATCTTGGATGAACCGCATAATTACCACACTGTGCACAAGTATATGCACCATAATTACCATCAACGCTTTGACGACAAACCCCACAAGACCATTCTCCGGATGGAAGACAAGGAACATAGGAGATACGATGTTGGTGACGTGATATCTTGATGACGCGTGGGGAAGACAGACAATCATTGTGAGCTACAAAGTTGCATCTGAGACAAACGTAGGTAGGATGAAGTTTTCTCACTAAACCACAAACATCGCATGTTAAGCAAGCTGGTCTAGGAAACGAGGTTAGGGGATGGTCGTGCCTTTTTGGTTTCTCTATAACAAAGGGCACCGACTTCATTGCACAGATTGGATGCATAAAAATCTGACATATCGTACAATGATATACCAGATATGAAACTCCTCTTGCACAACATAAGCACTCAATAACGTCAACGCGACCATAATGAACATGATAGTAAAGTTGGAGAGGATGCTCAGGATGGTAAGGGTGTTTTATTTTAAGTGGAGATTTGACGCATTCTTTGTGGTATATTTGATCACAGTGGACACAAAAATAGTAGTCTGTACCAAAACGTGAGCCGCGACATACCTCGCACCCGCCATTGACATCAAATTCTTTATTGTTGCAGAAAAACAAAGGGAGTACTTCATTTTCCCCCTGCTTGCACTCGGGGGAAATTTCGAGCGGCACAATGTTAAACTCAGAATTATAATACACGTCTTGCCAACGAATATTAGGGCATAAAAAGAAAAGTTGATGAGGCTGGTTATTGCTGGCGGCTTCACCTGGTGAGGAGTTGATTGGGCTTTGTGTTTGTAGAATGGGATGGTGATAGACCTGAAACAGCTTACCATCCTTTTCTACCTCATGAAATTCACCGATGGAATCCATGGCTGCTCCACCTGAATTTTTAGAGCTTTTTTCTGTTTTTCTTCTCTCTCTTTTTTTTTTTTTTTTTTTGTTGGGTGAAAGATTTTCGTAGTTGTGATTTTTTCTGTTCTTCCCGGAAGTAACGAACGACTTGTCTTCACGTCAATTCAAGGCTTTAATTTCGTGATTAATTATTGAGCTACTTGATCAAGCGGCAAATACAAAATGATATTCACTCCCGGTGTTTCTTTATTACATTAGTGTCGGTCTTTCTTTTATATTTGTTATTCATTGTGGACATATTTAACAGTTTCCACAATAAATATTACAATCTGAATCCAAAAGTCTCGTCCTACTAACTTTTAATTATTGGTTTGTTAACGTGAAAATGATGTGGATCTGACCGTTGTTTATGGAAATAGAACATGGATCAGCTCATGCATGCCACACTTCTCAACAAAGAACACATGGAGCTTAAACCAAGAGCCTCACCCGCGTGAGAGTTGGTTTAAAGGGATTTGGTTTCGGCAGAGTAGTTCTAAACATTTTTTTATTTCTGTACCTTGCGACTCATCAACGGCTACACCAATGGCTCTTTGGAACCCACAGAGCCGTGATCAAATATATTTTTTAAAAAAGAGGCAAAGTGCCACAGCCCACAAGAGGCCTCAACTAAAATATTTCTACTTGTGGTTAGAAATAGAATACTTGCATCCATAACAAAGGAAAAAACTGTATTTGCCAAACTAGCTAAACACTGTACATTACTCTAATTTCTTATCTTTTTTGATACCGAAAAATCCCCTATTAACTTATGAATCTACATATGTGGAATCTTATTTGTCAGAAAACTAATATATCACTCTCTCATCTCTTCTGTCTCTCCTTCGAATAATATACATTTCTTTCTTCATCTCTTTCCTTCTATCTTTCCTTTCTATAGTTTTTGTTATAATTTGTTACTAAAATTAATTGTCCGTAAAAAGTCCAACAACTAGTGAACGATAATAAATCTATCTCTGCTCATCTAACGATTTAATTCATGAGTTATAGAAGTTTAAGTATCAAATCCACTCACAAACCGCATCTTTGAAACAATGATCGAATCGGTGAGTCTTTAGTAAAGTTCCAGTTCATCCTCATCTTTCGAATCTAATTGCGTTTTTTTCTGACCCAAAATCTATTAGATCAGATCTAGTCAAAGTTTATTCTCAGATTTGAACTTTCAATCATGAATCGATGCTGGCTTGGTTTTACACTGGTCTAGTCTAGGCACCTGGCCATCCCGACGCCGACAGATCAAGTTCCTTTGTCTCTCTGTTCAAACCCGCCGATGCACCCAGGATCTGTTCATATTGCTGTTAAAATATTTAATAACGTGTATTTTTGAAATCTGATTTAGTCATAAAAAATTCTTCTTTATACCATTAACGCATACCACTAACCCATTTAATAATATACTAGATTCTACCTGGCATTCATCAAATTTTGTAATATAATTTATGTTTTAGTTTTTATTTAGATATATTTTTTCAATAAATGATAAATATTTTTTCTATTTATATATAATTTATTTGTATTATTTTTTAGTATATATACGACCGCTATTAGAAAAACACTATTCTAACTCATTCGTTCATATTAATCCAAAAAATACAATAATTATAAAATATCATTATAACATGTCTATTTATATTATTCTAAAAAGAACTGCATTTATTAAAACATAATTATAATCTATCCATTCATATTATTTGTATATTTTATATATTTTTTAAATTTGAATATTAAAAATTTTAGACTTATTTAATAAAAATATACAACAATATATCTGATTTGTCATTGAAAATATTATTTAAATTTAAATATTTAAATTAAATCTAAATTAATATTTGATTTATTATTTTTGTAATAATTTATTTTATGATTTTGATAAATAATATAACCCATATTTAAAAAAAGCTATAACAAATTTAAATTTAAATTTAAAATTTCGAATTTATTTTAAACTATATATTAAAAATGTATTATTTTATTAGTATTACTTGTTTGGTAACATAAATAAGAGTTATCCAAAAACAGAATAGTAGAAAATTAAGTAAAACCTTTTTGAAAAAAAAACATACTTCTATTTTAATAGTATAGATGAAGATCAATTGATATTACTTTGATGTAAAAAATATATTAGATTGATAATAGTAATAAGATTGTTAAACATGTTATCAATTTGCTTAGCACCCTAAACATAATTTTATGTGAACATGTTAGACTGATAATAACAATGATATATATAAAGTGTTAAAGGTGTTGTTGATTTTCATCTATACTATTAAAACATGTCCAAACAGGTTTTACTTAGTTTTCTAATATTCTGTTTTTGGATAACTCTTATTTATGTTATCAAATAAATAATATTAATAAAATAATATATTTTTAATATATATATTTCAATATAAATTCGAAATTTTAAATTTAAATTTAGATTTGTTATAGATTTCCTTAAATATGGATTATATTATTTTATCAAAAATCATAAAATACAATTATTATATTTAAAAAAATAATAAATCAGATATTAATTTTGATTTAATTTAAATATTTAAATTTAAATAATATTTTCAATGAAAAAGATAAAAATCAAATATTATTGTATATTTTTATTAAATAAATCTAAATGTTTAAATATTCAAACTTAAAAAGATATAAAATATAATATATATTGAAACAAAAAAGATATAAAATATACAAATAATATGAATAGATGGATTAAAATTATATTTTAATAATTGCGGTCCGAATTATTTTTATAATCGTTGTATTTTTTGGATTAATATGAACAAACGAGTTGGAATAATATTTTTCTAATTGTGGTCATATATATCATATATATTATAAGCAAAGTAAAATTTTGAGTTAAAACTCTTTCATTCAATTTCAGAGTGGCTAATTACCCTTTATCCCTCCTTATATTTTTTTAAAAATAAAATTTAATAAAACATTATTAAAAATCGAAAATTAATAAAAAATTATTAAAAATCGTAAACTAACAAAAATATATTAAAAATCAGAATTTAATAAAAAAAAATTAGACAAAAATTTATTAAAAATTGTAAATTAATAAAAAAATTATGATAAATCGGAATTTAATAAAAAAAACATTTAAATTTTTAAAAATTATTAAAAATTAGAATATAATAAAAAAACATTAAAATCATATCATATATACTATATGCGAAGTAAAATTTTTCGATATAAGCTCTTTTATTCAATCTAGGTGACTAATCATCATACTAATATATATTAAAAGCAAAGTGAATTTTAGCTTTAATGACCTCTCATTCAATCTCAGCGTGGTTAATTATTTTTGTGTTCCTTACTAAAATGTCACTAATATCCTTTAATTGGTTAAAATTAAGTTTTATTATAATTAACTATACCAAATTTTGTTACCATTAAGTTAATATTGGATCTTTTAATGCTATAAAATTATATGGTTTTGTATATGAAAGTCCCAAGGCTCTCACTTTAGCCTTAATCTCTGATTAGGCAGAGCTTTTTCTTCAACCGGTGGTTTCTGTGTTTTGATGTTTGAGTTGTATTGCTTTATTAAAATTTTCGAATTAGGGTTTTTTTGTTTCAAAGCTTTGGGTCTGTGTTCGTGATGAATGAGGAGGATTGAGTATTTAAGCTTTGCGATTAATTTCCATCGATATTGCTCTATAAGTCTATGACCGATCGGATCCCATACTGTTTATGCTCCTCCATCTCACACTACAAGATCGGGTTTTACGTCGGCAGATATCGACGTAAAATCGACGTAAAAGGGCATTTACGTCGAATTAGCGACAAATGAAAAATTGTCGTAAAACAATCGTCGTAAAACAGAATTCGTCGTAAAATCGTCGTAAAATTACCAACCCAGGGAAATCGTCGTGATATCATCGGAAACGATTCGTCGTAAAGTCGATGTAAATTTTCCAACGAAAGTACAACGAAATACGTCCATCATAAGAACGACGTAAAATCGATGTAAAATTACATCGATTTAACAACGATTAGGAGACGAACTATTTCAATTAAGGGAAATTAATTTTTTAAACATCGATGTTAATTCGTCGTAAAGTTTCGACGTAGATTCGACGTAAACATATTCGACGTAAACATATTCGACGTAAATTCGTCGTTAAATGTTCGACGTTAAATCGACGTAAATTTACGACGAATTTACGTCGATTTATAAATTAATTATTAAATCAACGTAAATTTACGACGAATTTACGACGTAAATTTACGACGAATTTACGTCGACGGAAATAAAAACGTTAATTATTTATTAAGTAATAAATATAATAAATTTTTAAAAATTTGAAATAGATCATACCTCCTCGAAAATCTGGTCTTGCTCAGCGACGGTCAACGCTACTTGGATAGTACCGTCAGGTGTGGCCTGGGTCTCCCGCTCGGCGATCCGCTGAATAGCGGCATTGTAGATCTCATCTGACCGAGCGTCGACAAAGCTCCCGTCCCTCTTCCGGTGAGTGGTCTCGAAGAGCTTCGTCATTGGAGGAAGTTCTCCTCCGTTCTCCTCGGCCTACCAATTAATAAACATTAGTCAAAAATATTTAATAAATTATAGCAATAACTAAAAATGAAATAATAATAAAATAATTTATATTTAATTACTTACCATCATGAGACATCTTCCCGCAAATGATATTTGGCCAGAAGTTTGCGGGGTCACTAACTTCTGACCGTCAGGACCGACCCGGTTTCAGACGGCCGAACACTTAGCAACAGTGGTTAGGGCATGCGGGTCCAGCCAATACGCCTTCAACCCGTTCCAACAGAAAGTGGACATGGAGCTCGGCTTTGCGTCGTCGCCATCGGTCTCCCACTTCCGCTTCCAATCGGAAACGGTGTTGACTAGGCGTTTCTGCGCCTTCAGCCGAAAAGCTTTGCGGACCGTCTCGTTGATCCCGATGTCCCAGTTCCACCGTTGCTGCAAAAGAAAACAAAAAATT